AAAAAAGGAACCCTGTTTAAAAAGATTAAGTCGTATTGTACCATGTTGAAAAAGTAGGGTGAGAATGTAATACTTTGATCTTAACTTTAACCCTAGAAGGTTTTAAATAGAGTCTAAGCCTAATCACAGAAAGAAAGTAAATCAAATCAAATCACTTACACGAGTACTTTACACTGCTAAACAAATACTCACGTAGAATCGTAGTTAGAAATACTTTTATTCTCCAACAACAACTGAGCACTGTTAAACACATTTGAATGTTTAAATCAAATCATTATGTTTAGAGGACTTCGTGGGTAGGGCTTATTGGATGTTGGTGGCTGATCCCATGGATGAGACTCAGCTGTGTAATGGAAAGAGGGAAATTATAATTTCATATCTGATAATGCTTTTTTTCTCCTGGCATTCCATTTGAGACACTGGTTTATTGCAACAGATCCACGTGTGATGTACTCAGAACCTGCTAAATTTGTGGCAAAACTAAGGGATATGAAGACTGATAAAAACATCATTATGTTTAAATGTGAATTTGGTGCTGGCCATTCTTCAAAGTCGGGGAGGTAAAATTCTTTTGGCTATTACTTCTGAAACAGAGTGGATTATTCATTTTAAATAAAATTTTATTATCCGTTCATTTTAGACGTAAATGCAAGTCACAATTTTACAAAGGTGAGAGGAACAATTGCTTATAATTAAAAACAGCAAGAACTCTATGGCCTTAAAGATCGTTGAAGTCTGAAGTATTTCCATGCATTCTCTGTAAGGAACTAATTTGTGTTTCTTCCCCATTCTTGTTTGTTTGGTGCAGATTTGAGAAGCTTCAAGAAGATGCCTTCATATATACCTTCATTATGAAGGCTCTGGATATGGTTCCTGCACAAGGATCTGGGCTGAATTAATTAGACTGCTCCAGGTAGGAGGATGTGGTGCAAATAATATAGGATTCACGTCACAAAACAATACATATAAAAGACACTTTTCTTTTTTCTATTTTGTCGTTTTTTTTTTGGTCTGGTATGGTGACGTTAGAATCTAATCGGAATCCAATCGGGGCAAAAAAAAAATAAACTTGGGTTGAGTGGGATTTCAAGTGCTCCGCACAATCTCCAACCCATTTACAGGCCTACATTGGAGACTCTTCTCTACATTTTTCTGTTGACTGACCTTTTTTTTTATGGGTAAACGTTGAATGTGACATTATTAGACGGAAATAACGACTAACTGTAGGGAAGTGATTCTGCGTGTGCCAATCCAACTACACAAGCAAAACAACCATTTTCAAAAACTAGCAAGGTTGGATCAGTTCAGTTAATCATATATATTTATGGAAGGAGAGAGCCATAAGAAATTGACGTTCAACTGAACAGAAGAAGGTGAAATGGGCCTTATATTCAAAGTTCAAACATTTCATTTCCAGTTCAACCCTCCCTCGGTGTATGTATCGGTTGAATGGAATAATCTTTCCTTCTGACCCAGAAAAAATGAAAAAAATAATCCTCTTACCTACCAGTCCTTTTAATCCTCAACAATCCCTAGTTGTGAGGGTGAGTTATCCTTGCACCTCTCTAAAGTTTAAATTGATTTATAATTGGCTTATTTATTATTTATTATTTATTTTGGGTGAGGATTGAATGAGGGTTGTAGGTGTTAGGGATATCACTTTTTGCTCTCCCGATCGATGCAATGACACATGAGATAACTATTCTACGTGTCATCGTATTATTGATCGAAGATAGCGAAATAGTGATATCCCATTAAAAGTAAGGTTTTTTTG